CCCCAGCCGTTTGAAACCCGGAGGGAGGGGCTGTTTCCCTTGACAAGCTGCTCCAGCTGAGAGAGGAATTAACTCGGGGCGGTTCTGGGGGCCGTGCTATGCAAACCGGGGGGTTCCAGGGCCTCAGAATGGCTGAGCAACGGGGATGGGATGGGGTGGAGTGGGGGCTGTTCTCTGGGGAAAGTCTCCCCAGGGCCTGGGTAGGAGGTCACCCCGTCTCCCCGGCCCACGTACCTTGGTAAGGGCTGCTATCCGCTGGGCGAGCTCTGCCTCCACCTCCGGCAGCGTCTCCGCCTTCCTCATCGTCTGCTGCAGCTTCTGCTCCGCCAGCTCCAGCAGCTCCTGGAGGTGCCGAGCCTTCTCCTCGCACTGCCGGGCAAGGCAGAGGAGACGCTCTCAGCTGCGAGTCGCTGGGCCCTGCGTCCCCCCATCTGACAAGCAAAGAGGGAGGGCCAGGGAACCCTGCCCCCATGGGGGGGGGGGTGAATTCCAGGGCCCCTCCCAGAGACTGGGGTCCAATGAAAGCCCCCCGCTTGGCTAATCTCCCCTGACAGATATTGCCAGCAGGAGGGCTTTCACTCCTTATTAATTGTTTGTTTCCCCTCTTAACACGGCTGTGAATGTTCTCACTAGGCATAGAGGGGACAAGTCATTCCGGAATCCTGCTAACTTCTTCACATCAGTCATGTCTTGTGGCAGTGAGTTCCACAGGTTAATTGTGCAGGATGGAAAAAAGCACCCCCCCCACACAGTAACTTTTGGCTGGCTCTAGGGCTGGCAGTTGGATCTAGGCCTGCAACTCTGCCGGGACACTCCTGCTGAGATTTCCCTGACTCCAACCCCTTTCTGGGCAGGGGCAGTAGCAGTGGGGAGTGCAGTGGAGGTATCTACCAGGGGCTGAGTCCAGCCCAGCACCCGCACCTGCCGAGGGACGGCAGGACGGGGGTGGGGACGTTTAGGAATATTACAGATCCAATCTCTTTGGCCTGCGTTGTTTGTGACGTGGTTACCAGGGGTTCGCTGACGCAGGGGTCACTCACAAGCAAGACAAGCACTGCAGACGGCCAAAGCTTTGGAAACTGCAGCTCTAACCACGGGATCTAGGCAGGAAAAATGGGAGCAAAGACCTTTGGGGGGATACGAGGCAAGTCCATGAAGGACGGAGCAGAGAGCTGCAGCCCCCCAAGGCTGGAGAGACTGGGAGCAGTGAGGTCCAGCGGAGCGACCCAGGCAGGTTCCCAAGGTGCAGCGCGCTGGCCGGGGAGCAGAACTGTGGCCTTGCACCCCGAGAGAGGGGAAACGCAGCTGCCTCTGGAGCCAGGACAAGGGGCTGCTGATGGGCAGGGGCGGGGGGATCTCCCCGGGGCAGGATGGCAGCTCCAGACAGGAGGCCCCTGCCCAGCCTTTCCCCCTGCCCAGGCTGCTGCTGCCACGCCCGGCAGGGCCCAGCACCTGGCGATGCAGAGACTCCTTGTTGGCCAGCTCGCTCTCCAGCTTGTCGTTGAGGTCGTGGATGGAGGTGGCTTCCCTCTGGGCTGCCAGGTAGCGCTTCTCCAGCGTGGTGATCCTCTCCTCCATGTCGTCCTTCTGGGCCAGGGCCTGCCGGGGTA